ATATTTATTTTCATAATTGGGATTATATCGCAGCATACTCTGAAATCCTGATTTTTTTTTCCCATTTAAAATTTGCTGTGGGCACTTTCCAAAGTGACTAAATATTTTTCAGAAAGTTGTCTTTTTAATAGCTATGTGGTATTTAATTTTACACAGGTACCATGATTTATGTAATCATTCTACTGTTTGACATGTTTCCATTTTTTTTTGCTATTAAAATGATGTTGGAGGGGCACCTGGGTGGCTCAGTCAGTTCAGCATATGACTCTTGATCTCCGTTCAAGTCTTGATATCAGGGTCGTGAGTTCAAGCCTCAAGGTGGGCTCCACACCAGGTGTGGAGCCTGCTTTAAAAAAAAAAAAAAAAGATATTGGGTGAGCATGTTTATATATCGCTGTCTATATATCTCATTATTTCTCTGAAATTAACACTGTCTCTTTTTTAAATGAAAGAAACACATGCTTTCAATGACTCTATTCTTTTATTTTCTAGGCTTCTAGCAGCGCAGGGAACTTGGGTGTACTCATTCCTGTAATTGCTGTGGTGAGTATTCATTAACTGAGTGGTTTCAGACTTCAAATACTGTGCTCATATTTTCAATGTTGCCTAGTGGTGCACAGCAAATTCCTTAGCAAAATGCTGTTTGGAGGCCCAGTGATTCTGGACTTGTGGCTGGGTTTCTGCCACCACCAGCTGTTCTTGTGACTCTCCCACTGGTATGTGCCTACTGTGGCCACAGCCCCTCACTCCCTTTCTCCGTGCCCTGCCTGAACCTCCTTGCCACTTGACCATGAAACCCACTTTGGTTCTCTCCTGTGTGGCTCCCAAATCTGAGGTGTGGCTCCAGGTTCGTCCTATGTCTTATGCCCTGCTCTGGTGCCTCTGACTAATGGTGGGCAGGCTCTGCTCCCATCCCCTTCCCGACCCCTTCCTGTGAGATGAGGCCTGGGGCCTCTGCACGGTGCTTGGTGCTTGGAGCTGCAGCCCCCAGTGCCCTCTGTGGGGCAGCGTTGTTGGCACAGGGGCTGGCCATACTTTGGAGCACAGCCCTGCCCACCAGCATGGTGGCAGCTCACGGTCTAGGCCCCGTCCCCTGCCACAGCACTCTTCATCTTGTCCTGTCTCAGTCTGCAGCCTTTGCTTCCCAAATGACCTTTGTAGAAATCTTTTTCCCCTTTCTCAGTTGTCCCCAGCTGCCACTCCTAAGCCATGGCCCCAGGTTCTAATACTTGTTTCCATCCGTGTTTCTCTAACTTCCACTAAACCTACCTTCTGGTTAAGCCCTCCTTCTGCCTTCCAGTTCCTTCCCACCTTTCCCCACTCCCTGTAGTTCGAGTCTTGAACACTCACACACGTGTCCCTTCACATGGAACACCAGAGGGGTTGACCTCCGAGCTGCCAGGGTGACCCAGGGGTGTAGAGGTCAGGCAGGTGGATGGAGAGGCACCTCTCCTGATCTCAGTTTCTGTACTTACTGAAGTCTGGATGTTCATCATTTGGAATCTGGGGACTTTAGGGGTCTGATTTTAGGTGGGTGAAAAATGGGAACTGACTGGTTTATTATCATTTGCCTTTAAGATGTCACAGGTTGCACTTTGTGACATTCTGCTTCCATTCACCTTGCTTCGGCTTGTCCTTTTCTTTCCTGTCTCCCCCGCCCCGTAAGTGGCCGATTCTGGAGCAGGAACCGAGTTGCTTGTTCCCTTGTTGCATCTGTGTAATGACAGTCTCCTTTGCCTGAGTGTGCTTGAGGGGATGGTTTGCCTGCACCCTAGCTGCCTCCCTGTACTCTCGGCTTTTCCCTCTCCTCTCGGGACCTTACCACCTTTGCACCTGCGATCAGGTGCTTCCCACAGGCTCTGAGGATTTGAGAATGGCCAGGACTCTCTGCCGAGGTATTTTTCATCACCACCTGCATTGGTTTTTAAAAACATAAACTTTTTCATTTTATACTTAATATCGATTACTGTACAGTTGTGTTTTAGAAGTACCATCGTACATGGATCCTTTGTTTAGCCTGGAGGGAAGGGTGAAGGGCATAAAGTCCATGGCACTCTCTCAGCCTGTCGGAGGGGAGGAGGGCCGGCAGCAGGCTCCATGAGAGAGCAGGTTTTGGCAGCCAGGGAGCTTGTTTGGGGTGACACTCGAATCCGTGAATTCTGGTGAGTTTGAACACCAAAATTCTCTGACCCGTGTGCCTGTGAGCTTTCAAGCTTGTATAGCTGTTGTCATTTAGAGTTTGATAACTGCATAGAAGAAATTCCAGGGGGCACTTTGCACTTTCCGGGAGTAGTGACCAGTGAGGTTGGTTGGGAACACATAGGTGTTCAGGTCACAGGGGCCAGGGTTGGGCTCCTGGTCCTGTGCGTGGGATCCTGGGTGAGCATCACAACCTCTCTATATAGGCCTGCTTTGCCCACAGAGCTTCTCGAAAAGATGAAGATGACCCTCTGAAGTGCCCAGCTGGGTCAGTGTAGGCATGACTGTTACCAATGATAGGCAAGCACACACTGACTTAAAATGCTTTGTTTACTCCACTGCAGTGACCTTTTACATGAATAGAATAAGTATTGTAGTCTTAACAAAAGTTAATGGTTATATTATGGGGGAGGAAACAAATATTTGATTCTATTGCTCAACAAAGAGCACAGAGAATCATGGAATCTTATATTTGCTCTCTGGTTTGCCCCTTGAACCCTCTAGGAGAAACTAGTTTCCAACAGTTGTTTTTTTTTTAATGTGTTATCTTTCTTTTCTTTCTTTCCTTTCTTTTGGAAGAAGATACTCTGTTTTGGATCTTTTGATGACAGAGTGTCTCCAGGTACTTTGTTCAGTGGACGTGCCAGTGGATTTGGGGCAGGAAGCCTGGGTGTCCATCCAAATGCAGCTTATCAGTGATTTATCAGTGACCTTAGGAGCCTGGAGGGGGGGGTCACTGGAGACTGGGTCATGTGATCTCTGAGGCTCCTTCAGAGCTTAGGTTTGGTGATCTTTGACCTGCAACTTCGTAGAAGAGTATTTCTTCAGAAATATCACTGATTAAATTGCTTCTCTTAGTGTCTAGCCCATTAGTTAATCAAGCCCCATGAAAGGTATCTAATGCTTAGAGTCTTGTGTGTTCCACTGTTGTAGTGATTTGATAAGCTGCGCCTCCTGCTCAGAAAACATTTGTGCACTTCACTTAGAGCTAGTTTCCCTGTGCCCCCGGTAATTTCTGTGGCCTTGGACAGGTTACTTATTCTCTCAGTGCCTATAAAGTTAGGTTTGTGGACTAACAGGTTTTAGGTCATGGACTCCTTTGAAAGTCTTGCCCTCTCCTTCCATAGAAATGCATCTCTTCACAAGGTTTTGCATTTATTCTCAGGAAGCTGAGTGGGAGAAACCTGCCCAGGGCCCCCCAGTTAGGAACCCCTGGGCTAGATACTCTCTCAGACAAAGATAGTACTTATCTAGCTTTTGCTAAGCACCAAGCACTGATGTAAACCCCATCCAGTCATTAACTCACTACTCCTTACAACAACCCTATAAGGTAGGTGCTGTTATTATCCCTATTTTACAGGTGGAGAAACTGAGGCACAGAACTTGCCTCAGAGTCCCACAGCTACTAAATGTCAGAGCCAGGGTTGGGACCCAGGCAGCCTGGCTCAGGGTCTGTGCTCTGAATTAACACTCTATTGCCTTGAAACCTGGGTCAGCTAGTTTGAGAAAGAGGGGATCTGAGTGCATTGAGTGGATGTGGGTGAATGAAAAGCATGGAGGCTGGAGGGCCTTGACCTGGGCCGGGTCACAGAGGAGCCTGGGCTGGCTCCAGCATAGGTGGGGCAGGCCACATTGGAAGGGAGAGGTCACCTTTTGGGTAGGGGACAGACGTGGCAAAGGGCTACAGGCAGAGTTTTTGAGAGAGCCACGTTTAGGAATGGGAGGAACAGGAGGAACCAGCAGCAGGACAAGAAAAGCAGAACAAGCACCAGGAAAGGACAGTGCGGAAGTGCACTGGAGAAGAAATTCAAGGAGTGGGGTGTCAGCCAGCTCAGAGCTCTCCGAGAGGTCAGGAGGCGTGACAGGCAAAGAGGTAGCCTCCACCCTGCACTAGTCAGGAGATTCAGGAGGCAGAGGCCCTGGTGCAGAAAGTTGGGAAGGAAGCAGGTGGAGGAGAGGTGTGTTAGCAACTAACAGCAGGGCCTGGGGCAGATCATGTCTCCTCTGAGACCTCAGCTGTTTCTTCAGCTGCCAAAAGGAGGTGATAACAGTGCGAACCTCCTAGCTGTGCAGTGAGGACTCAGTGATAACCTGCGAGCAAACCCATCACAGCGCCCCCTACAGTGGGGAGCGTGAAGTGCTCCCCTTCTGCTGCCACCATGACTAGTATTGGTCTCACTGAGTCTGAAGCCCTCTGTGACAGACTCTGTGGGTGACTCTGGAGTCAAGCCAACCTGTGCTCAAACCCTGCTCCTCCTCCTCTGCAGAGAAAGAAGAGAAAGCCTCTCTTGCAGGGCTCTGGGGGTCATAATTAGACAGCTGCACACACAGCATTTGTGATGCTCTCCCCATCACTGCCCAGAGACCCCAGCACTGCGGAGGCACCAGCACCCTTCAATTCTGAGCAGCCTTTTTGGATTCCACTTGTCTTACCCAAGTAGCGAAACATTCAGACATCTGAATGTCACCTGCTTTCTCAAACCAGGCCCACTCTGGGAGCTCATCTGAGGGTCTCCCTGCATCCAGGGATGAAAGCCAAAGCATGTGCCCCACATAAAGACTGGCATTTCAGGAATTTCCATGAAGCCCCATCCACAACATCTTTGCCCCCAGGATTTAGCAGCACTCACCATGTCCTGATCCCAAGGAATATGCCTGCTGCGTAGCACATGAGTCACCGTGAAGAACTCAAGTTGCTTTTTTGTCAACCTCTGTCATTCCTGGGGATGTCAGCTATTTTGAATTTGGCTTTTCTTAGTTACTTGAGCCTCAAAAAATAGAGAATTATAACAGACACACAGTAAAAGTGGCAATATTTATTTATCTCTAAGGTGGAAGGCATGGCCATGTGTATACACTGTCCTCTGGGCAGCAGTGAGGTGACAGCAGAAGTATAGATGACATTTAGCATCAATTCAGAAGGTTAGGCCTTGAGAGAATTAGGGTGTTAGGCCCTAACACCCAGGGCACCCCTTGAATGTCATGAGGTTGCTTCTGGCCTGGGCACCATCCTTGGGAAAGGTGAGAAATTAGTCCTACAGCTCATTTCTGGGTTCTGTGTTCAGCTGAGGAGCGCTGGTAATTTGAGTAATAGAGCCAAAAGTTCAAGGACGGGGACAGCAGGGAAAGGAGGTACAAGGTAAGCCCCCTATAGGTTTGCACTGAGGAGGCGGGAGTGAGCCGGTCTGTATGTTGCTGACACCCTCTGGGTAATGGCTCACATATCACAGGTGCATTAATGTCTGCGAACTGCTGGCCTTGTTCACTGTGCGGAACGGATTCCTATGAGCTTCTCCGTCGGTTTGTAAATTTCTTCTCCTATGGGCCTCGATTTCAGAATGGTCGCATAAACCACGAAAGCCATGATGCCAGAACATCTCCGTTCTCATCGTTAGAATGGAACCAGAATTACACAGTGCCCCCAAAACCCAGACCTCCACCTTTAAGACTTGGTGGGGTTGGCAACTCTCCCCATGAAGAGCAGGCAGCTGGTGCGGTGCTCATAGATGAGGAAGAGGAAGGGGCGGTCGACAGTGAAACGGACTTGGGTGGTCAGCGGCATGAACCCCACCGTGGTCATGGCGGCAGCCTGGGTGCCCTCCTCATTCACCGTGATGGTTCCTTGGTGCTTGAACTATTTCAAAATGGAAAGGAAAGTTGTCAGATCCCGTCAGTGAGGGATAGACGAGATAGTGGAGTCTCCTCTCATTCAGGGTGGAAACAACACGTGCAAGGCACAAACCACAGCTGACCAGAATGACCCTTGAAGGTCTCTCTCACCTCCTGCCAGGTGCAGTAATTGTGCTCAGAGGCTGTGTCATATAAACAACGCATATCTCTAAACTCCAACATCACAGTTGCTCATGGTGGTGGTCATGGTATGAGTGGTCTGCCAGCAAAACAGCAGGGGCAGGCCCCATCTCCTGTGCACACTGTAGGCGCACTGCCAGAAGGGTGGGGCCTGGATCTGCATGGGTTTGTTGGACTGATATTCTCTCTTTTTTTGTGGAGTGTCTATTGTTGTGTCAAGTTCAGCGTGCAGGTCATGCACTTTCTCTGCATATATTTAACGGGTCTTTCATGATTCAGCTAGGTGTAGCTATTTCACAGATTGGGGCGCATACCTCCTCTCTTTCTGCAGTCGGCAGGAATGACGCTCACTCCCAAGCTGCTTCCTAAAACAGATTACCCTGCCCACTCAGTGTCTCGTAGACCCAGGGAGAGCAGACCCAGCACTGTTGACCTGTGAAGTCAGGCTGGGCAGGAGGGAGGCTTTGCTGGGGGCAGACCCTGGGGACAGGTGCGGAGGGTGGACGAGGGGAGAGCTTACCAGATCGATGGTGATCCTGTGGTCTGAGATTCCTGTCATATTGCTGTCTTTGTCGAACAGTGCCGTGACCCCCATTGACTTCAGGGCCTCCACCAGGTTGTAGTTCTTCTCCAGCTTGAATTTCGGCAGGAGCACTTCTCGAGTTCTGGGCAGAGAAGAAAAGGGGGCCCAGTTTTATTGAACCACAAGTTCCAAAAGAATCCTGTTTTTCCCTCAAATGTCCACAACCTCCTTTCCACCACCAGCTGCAGGTTGCTTTTACCACAGAATGGATGCAGCACTTCTTGAAATTCATATCCCAGTACTGTCAGTTGAGTTTTGGGGAAAGACCATCCATTATGATTCCAGTTCCTTAAAATGGAAGCATGGTTAGTGCTATGCAGTCATTTCCTCCATACTGTGAGGTTCACGTCCCGCCTTCCAGGTCAGCAGCAGAACTATTACTGGTTTATGGTTTGAGAGTATCTAAAAATAATTCTCTTATTTGGGTCCTTGATTTCAGGCATTTCTTATTTTGTTAAGTAAGCAGTTGAGTATCTGATCAGTGTACAGAAAAAAGAACCCTTCACATGCCAGAAAGTGCTAAACTTTAGTTCTCTGCCCTTGTCTCAACACATTCAGTCCTTATGGATAAACAGCAACTACAGTGTCCATGGGGCCAAGTCCAGCACACAAAGGGGATAAAGAGACATCAGACACAGTCCCCTTTCTCAAGAGTTTGCTTTCCTTTTGGCAAGCCAGGACTCACGTGTGTGAAGCAGCCAAACAGTAAAGGTGGTATGGTAACATCTGAACAACCAGAACAGATCTAACTACTGGAGCTACCCAGCAGGGAGTGAGGAAGGAGGGGGTGTTCCTGGGGCCTAGAAGGCTGCCCACAGCTTGAGAGATGGCGTGAGCAAAGCCCGGAGGGAGCTTGAGCTGCGGTCTGGCTGGGGTGCAGAGGGGCACCAGGCAGGCGGGGAGGAAAGAGGAGGAGGGGCAGAGCAGGTCAGACGGGGGACTGTGTCTGTGGGCCTGGCCAAGAAGCTGGGCTGCATCCCGTGGGCAGGTGGCCCATAGAGTGCTTCTGAGAAGAGGAGCCGGGGCCGGAGGGTGTCTTGGGAACGCCGTTTGGAGGCCAGTGCCGCATGGCTTGAGGAATGGAATGGGCAGGCTGTTTAGGCCTTCCTGGCTCACGGTGGGAGGTCATGGGCAGAGAGGTTAGGAAGGAGGTGGGTACAGAGGGGACATTTCTAAGGAAAAATTGACAGGACCTGATGACTCACTGGCTCCCTGGGTGAATACCTTCCTCTAAGAGCCCTCTTCTGGGTTTATTGCATTTCTTTGCATTCTTGTCCCAAAAGGGGACCTGAACCAGATTCACATCTTAATATGGGCCTAGCCAGTTTCCAATAAAACAGAAATGTGACTTCTCTATTCTTTCTGCCATGTTTCACTAAAATCATAGTAACTACTTAAAACCTGTAGTTTTGACTCTGGAGTAATAAATAATGAGAGAGGAAAATCATGAACGACATGTCCTTCGTAGGTTATGAGGATTACAGCATTTCCTGCACAGGGAAGGGAGAGCTTATCACAGGCACCAGGCTCTGTGATAGGGGCTCAGTGTCACTTTTCTAGGTGTTTCTCTCTGCGACCCTGGGAAGTCCTAGGATCATGCTGCTTTTACGGATGACGAAGCCAGGGCTCAAAGCCACAGAGCAAGTAGGTGGCAGGGCCGGGATTGTTTCCGAGCTGGCTCTAAGTCACCTGCCCCTTACTTCTGAAACTGTCATATGGCAGGGAGGAGGGCAGCTGTGTTTCTCACAGATGCTGTCCAATTGCTTCTCACTGAGCAGGAAATTTGGAATGAATTAACAAGACTGGCCCAGGATGGGG